CGGGTGAGTAATGACTGGTATCGTAACAATAGCTGGAATTCATGTCCGAATGGGCCAATGAAGAAGCTTTCAGGGAGAAAGCGGCTGCGGCTGCTGCAGCGGCGGCTGCCATGTTGACTGCCGCCTGGGAACGGTCATTTGTGTCGGAACTAGACTGACTGTGCCCGGTCCCGAGCGGCGGAGAAGTGAGTGAATCAGATAGACTGTGACTGGACGGAGAGGTGGGTCGTGAAATGCGCGCAATCAAATCGGATCCACGGGTGGACTGTAACAGATCCGGAACTGGTGTGCAATGCGTTTTCATCGGACGATCAGCATGCGACAGACCGAAGCGCGAACAAGCCCCGTCAAAGTTGGCTGAGTCCGATTGCCAGTGTGTTGTGGACGGATAGAATGGAGATTCTTTTGTTTGAAACGGTAGTGCAAATTTCATTAGTGTATCTTCACGGGGGACTTAAGATAAATTGCAATGAAATGGAAGAATAGCACACAGTGATTGATTCTCTTCACTTGATATAATGTATGGTATGTGATGTAGAATGAGTAGCAATGAAAAAAGGCATTTATCATTGTTTTTATTAGTAATTAGTGTTTTGAACGGCGGAAGGGATGAAACCTGTGATCGTGAGGACCTGCATTCATTTGTAACAACTACGTCGGTGATACACGCCATGTTCCAATGATAGAAAATGCGTGCTACTGAACCAGATAACAGAGTTGCTGGTCATGATCACATTTGTGTGATAGTGGAGGAGTTACAACCTCTGAATTTTGGGGGTTTAAACCTCTCCAATGACAGACAATGGAACTACTTGACGGTCACAATTCAGTTCCGATGAGCTTTTTCATCTATGATCCAATTTCAAGCGAAAACCATTGGTATACAATTTTGATCACAATAATTCACTGAATATTTAAAATTCCTCTATCAAAATTGACATATGTACTCAAGAATCTGTTCCATATAACTCTTATTGTGCAAAAAAATTCCAGGTAGGGGTAGTGTACACTTGAACAGGGATTCCGTTGTCGGTAATTCGATTAGGCGGGATTACGAGTCCTGTACGTGATCATCACCAAGTTGATTTAAATGTGATTCCCACGGGTTTAACTGACGTATCACTGAGTAAAGTTATCACCATTCAAGCAATAATCTACGTTTCCCTGTTCGGACTATATACAAAGACGAATATCAAACAGCTATGATCCGAATGCGCAACTGTCAGTGAAGATTTCTCCAATGGTCCACAGTCTTCAAAAGATGGGCCTCGAGTAGGTGACGGATACGCTTCCCGGGTGTGTACGATAATGAGATAAGATGACCCTGTGCAACCGTAAGACAGAGTTTCGGTGTTACCGTCCTGATCGATAAATGTTAATCCCTATTCTTTAGTGGTGGCTCCAGTTGCCAGTTCAATGTGATTAAACAACTGGGACCGATTACAACTGGTTCATCAGTCTGAACTGAAGAAACAGTTCCCATATTGTCGCAGAAATCCCGATACCTTACAATGTTGATACACTCATTCCGTTTAATGACCTCTCTGTCCATTAAATATTCAGACTTTCACGCTTTCACTTAAATATTCTAACTGAAATGTTGATTTCCCGCTCTACGTGATATTAGCTCAGCGTGGTACTCACTGATGTATCGTCCATTCTAAGTGTACTTTTTGACGACAGTTGGTCATTCAAAGAATATCTATCTGCGTTTTTACAACATCCATATCAGTGTGCGTTCCGAAACAGGGCACTACAATGATGACGAGGCTATCCAGTGTTCGCATCACAGACATCGAAATATCCTCAGTCATCATTATTTGGGGTTCACGAAGGTCCGAATATCATCAACAGCACTAAAGGTATTCATCAGTTTCCCGATTTCTCGTGCAATTTACTGGAAATGACCATTGCTCCGGAAACGGTATTTTTCTCAGCACAATGGCTCGTGATCCATTCGTCCAGATAAAGAGAGGCTCTCACGCTGTGAAGGCCAAACCAGCTGATACTGAATGGCTTCACACATAAATGTACGTAGAAAAAACTCATGAGTAAATTGATTTTAGAAAAGTGTGTATCTACCGTGTCCAACTGCGGTTTTAGTAATAATGTCAACATACAGGTGTGACAAAGCTGGCGAATGAGAGAAAACGGAGCGTGCATGGTGATCGCTGAATTCCTCAGAGAAACCGTGTGGAGTTAGAAATGACATCATTGAAAATAAAATCAAAACATCTATTTTATTGGGTATGCCCAATGACTTCTTTCATCCACAATTCCCGGCTCCCATAGCTTGCTGTGCAGTCTGCTCATACTGCTCCGGTGAAAAGCTTGTCTAGAAAAGTGGTTGCTGACGCGTTTATTAAGCAGGATGCATATGAAGACCGGATTGAGGACGGATCCCTTCGTAGTTGAATTATTTAGTGGGATAAAGTTAGAAAGCGATTTCTCCGTGGACATCATTCTTTGTGATGACATGTCTACCACTACTAGACATGCACCGAATAAGAATGAAAGTTAATTGAGTGTTATTCGCCAAAATCGGGTCACCTTATTGCATCGCGCTCTCATCTAGAAATTGCAAACACAATTGGGGTATGGGGTTTTATTTTGCAACCTTAAATGCACTATGTTGGCTCATTTCTTAATGAAAAGTGGCCCAAATTGCCTCTGAAACAAATTATATTGGTAAATCATGGTAGCATCTGACAGGAATATGGCGCTTAAAGATACTTGGTCTCCACCGGAACAATCATTGCCCATCGAAGTCTATTTCGGGGATTTTGTTATCCGATATCTCACACTCGGTAAGTTTACGCTTAAATTAATTATACACTGAGCTCTCCCAAACACAGACACAGAACAGTGCATCAGAACACAAGGTTGTACAACTTAGAAGTTCCCTGTAAACGGTTATCTGACAATACTCACCTCGGACTGGTGAATGTAGACACGATAAGCCTCGGTCATCTTGTTGTAAGACCACCTTCACATTATTCTCCTCAGTAGATTTAAGTAGTCCAGAGAATGCAGGCCCATAACAGGATCGACCAGCTCGTGGAGTCTGTTCGTCGAAACAGTTGACACGGTCCGGGCAGCCCACGCAACAGACGAATGAATCAGGACTTGACGACTGTCCGTTGTTGCGTCCTGTAATGATTTGATTCCCGTCCACGGAAGCGGAATGTGTTACTTCTGGTCTCAGATATGCCTCGTTTGCATGAAATTCATAACCTGAGTTTTGTGCAATGTGTTTGAATGGATCGATAGACCATGTGGAATCGTTTAAATAGGTTGATTGGACAAGTGGTGGATAGATTGGGTCGCCGATGGAATTGGCGTAACGAGACATTCGAGCAGTTTGGGAGGCTGAGGGATGTGTAATCGCATCTGAACACGTGACCATCGAACTGATTGGTTTATGCACAGCAGACGGTCCAGGAATCATATGCGGACGGGGAAATGCGGAGTGATTGCGTGATGTGAGAGCCATGGATCTGTTGGCATAGCGTGCATTATCACGTCCCGCACGTTTTTTACGACGTTTCACCTGACACGCATAATTGTCACGTGCCGACCATCCGGGATACATGCGTTGATGACGTTCTTTTTCTACGCGAGCCAGACCATAGTATTTGGCTTGTTCTTCACGCGACAGTGCGTGCCATTTTCGACCCAGAATCTGGTTGATCGCAGCTGACTCTTTCAAGGTGCACTCAGCCATCACTTGGGCTCGTTTCTCTTTCATGAAAAGCATGAACGCGTTCAGCGGTTTCTTCACATGCACATGCTTCTGCCCAATCCCGTCAGCGATCGGATGTGTCAACAGGCCGGAATGTGCGGGGTCCGCGTTGAATGGGCGATCATCCAGTGGCATTTGAATTTTCAC